TCGAGCCGCCCCGCGCTTTTCGGGGCCCCACTGGCCCGGGGTGCTCGGGATCTGAACGTGACCCCCGCCCCCCCTCTCCTGCACAGGCACACGCCTCTCGGCAGGTCCCCGCCGGGCGCCAGGCTGCGTGCGGACGTGGCGGAGAACCCCACAATGCGCCACCCCCGAGAGCGGCCTCAGCATTGAGGAATGCACCCCCCAGGACAGCAGCACCCCTGCTGCTTTCTCCCCGCCTCGGCAGCTCTGCTCTCCTCTGGGGCCGTGCAGAGCTCCTCCGCTTCCTGGACAAAGCAGATTTGTGAATGGTAGGGATGTTAAAATGCATGTAATTGAGTAACTGTGTCATCACTGAAAATGTCAGCGGTTACACAAGGGGGCAACAGGCAACTCTCTGGGATACCGGCTCACCCCTACCCCCCACCTTTGTACTAGAGGCAGTAGTGTGGGGGGACAGGCGCCTCCCCAGGCTGTATGCAGGTTGCATGTAACCATGGATGTTAACCAATGAGCTCAGGCCCATCGGTTAACCATGTACACAATTACACTTTCACCTCTCTAGTGGATGGGGAGCCATGTTTGTAAAAATCAACAACAACCGAAAAAAGACCGGGAAATGCGGCAGCTGGAGTAAAACTTGAAGTGACTTAACACTTTTTAAAAAATAAATCCGCTGACACTTTAGATATCTTACATATAAGTCTATATCTTGGAGTATTCAGATGACTAGAGGGAAGGGGTTTGGCAAAAAGTCTCCCAAACATTCGCCCCCAATTTTTCCTTGTTGCAAAAGAGTGTTGCGTTTGTGTTTTCCAGAGAATGTAGAAGTAGCAACATGGACAAAAAACTCCATTGTGTTAAAAAAGATCTGTTCCAAAGAGACATCCCTGCAGTCTTACTGGTTCTGCTGCTTCTCGCAGTTCTGCTCCTCAACTTCCTTCTGTACACATACCTCAACGATTTCTCCGTTGCTACTGGGCAGCCTCAGGTGGACTCCAGTCTCTGCCCATTTGGGTACTTCAGATTAGGACCAATGAAAAATTGCTCACCGTGGCTGTCTTGTGAAGCTATCAATACAGAAGTCAGGAAACTAAAACGTGTTGGTGAAGGGGCTGTTAAAAAGGTTGGTGTCATTTTGCTTAGGTGGCTCTCCAAAAGGAAACATTCACATGGTGTGTTGGGTGATTATCACTGCTTATGCTGCTTCTGTGATAATTGTCTCCACAGTGGCTAATTACTAGAGAATCACGGAATTATGATTGTAGATGGCAAAAGCAGAATATGGACAAGATGATCTCGTACTTGCCTCCCTTACATTGAGTGGTCACGTACTCTGCCAGAGCTTGCAGCATTATGATCCTTCTCAAATCAGCTCAGGGTGAAAGGAGAGAGAGTGGTTTTCTTTTGTAGACAGTTTGATTTTTGTGTCCAATTTACATTTAATCTATGTCATCTGCTCATGAGAGGAGACCAAGAGATCAGTAAATACTATACGCAGGAATCACAGTGTTAGTGCTGTGCAGCTAGCGATAACTCCACTGTAACATGTAAGTTTATACAAAGACTCACCTGGTAACTAAAGTAGCAGGTGAAGTCTAGATTGTAGTTCTGTGACTTGTTCATTGAACAGCATCATGTCTCATGAATGGATAAGTTTGCAGTTTTGTGGCTACTCCATTACTGGCCGGTCTGTAGTAGCAACTACTGATCAGTAGGAAAAGGTTCCAAACATTTTGCTTGTCTCTTGCTTTGTTTTAGGTCTTTCTTTCAGAGTGGAAGGAAAAAAAAGTTTCCCTTTCCCAGCTCACCAACTCAGAGCTGAAGGAAGATTTTCTTCATGGACTGAAGATGCTGAAGTCTCTCCAGAGCAAGTATGTTGTCAAACTGCTTGGCTATTGCGAGCAGAAGTTCACGGTCCTTACTGAGTATCACCCATTAGGCTCCCTGAAGAACCTGAATGAAGTGCTGGACCTTCCCAAGTATAAGGGTGTGAACACTTGGCATCGCAGATTCAGGCTTGCTATAGATTACGTGAGCACCATCCATTATTTGCACAACAGCCCCTTGGGCACCTTAGTTATGTGTGATTCCAATGACTTGGACAAGGTGTTATCGCAGTATCTGCTGACCAGTGACTTTCATGTTGTGGTGAATGACTTGGATGCCTTGCCTCTCGTGAACAGGAGTGCTGGCAGGCTAGTGAAGTGTGGTCATCGGGAGCTCCAAGGTGAGTTTGTAGCTCCCGAACAACTTTGGCCCTATGGGGAGAAAGTGCCATTTGAAGATGACCTCATGCCTCCATATGATGAGAAGACAGACATATGGAAAATCCCAGATGTTTCCAATTTTTTCTTGGGACATGTTGAAGGGAGTGATATTGTCAGGTTCCATTTGTTTGATATCCATGCAGCATGTAAGAAGAAGAATCCAGCTGAAAGGCCTTCTGCTGAGCTGGTTATGAACACATACAGGAATGTTTTAACATTGCTACGCAGAGAAGGTGCCATACCTGGTACCAGGGAAATGTTATAAGTTGCTGTGAGAGAGATGCATGTACTCTTGTTGATGTTCTTTTATGTATTTAGCACCTACAGGCTGCAAAGTCATTTACAAATTTGTGTTTTGTGAAAAAAAATGTTTTGACCAAACCCCAAATTTTGAGGAGTTTTAGAGTATATTTCTATCTCGCACCCTCTCTTTTCCTGTTTTGCCCTAGAAGAGGAGGGGCTGGGAAGGAAGATAAAGCAGGGGTGGGATTTTTAGTTTTGAAAACCAAACATTTTTAAAATCCCAACATCTGAAAAATTCTTTTCCAAAAATTCCACAAAACATTCTGGCTTTGTTTTTAAAGGCCAATTTTTACCCCCCCCCCCCCAAATGTTCTGAATGAAGAATTTACACCTCTAATTTACGTGTGGTTGATTGGAGAAAGAGCAACAAATAAGCAAAGTGATTCAGATGAAAGAGGCATATTCTTGATTAGCGCTGTGCCATTCCAACTCTATGCCACCAACTTGTCTAGACAGTGCCCTCCTCATCTCCCTGTCTCCTGGCATTGGGGCCTGTTCTAAGGGCCAGTCAGTACCCTGTGGTACTGAACAGATCTCCATAGCAAAGGCAATGAGCTGGTATGTCCAGCTATTAACTCGGGCAGAGGCCTGTTATGCCTGCCTAGACATCTGCCTCCTGAGCGGCTCCCACCTGGAAATGTGGTATGTCAGTCTCTCTAGGCCTAGCTGGAGGTGGGAGCAAGGCCGGTCTTTGAGCCCCCCCCCCCCCTTGATAAGAGTAGCTACTTGCTGGCTCTGCCTCCTGCTGTTTGGGGAGCATGGGTGATTTATGTGTCTAGCTGAATAGGATGGGGGATAGGGGAAGCATTTATGGGCCCTTTTGCTATTGTTTCAGCTCAAACAAGCATGCGAAGCATTTCAGACTTACAAACGTTACAGGCGTTTGCCCAAAAAGTCAACATACGGATAAAGAAGTGGGAAACACGTTGCCTTGATTTTTATACCCTGGCCCACTTACTCATTATATCTACCTGCCCTGAAGGACCTGAGCAGGGAAATCTTTTAGTATTCTCATAAAGGCCCTTTGGAGCAAGACCCTTGTTTTCCCACTGCTGTGTGAAGTGACAAGAACGCTGCACACACAATAATCATTGTCTTCACCTAACTTCATTCCACAGAGATTTTGCTAGTTTGGCTTCTGCAGATTAGAAGCTCCCTTCAACCCAGAAAAATGCCATCACTTCATTTCTATTCTGAAGGAAGTATCTCTTTGCATTCACTTTTCCATGACAGTGTCCTAATGATCCAACAGGAGATTGTGTTCCATTAACACCATCTCCTCCTTCAACACTCAAGAATACAAATCTTTCTGTATATTGCATACAGAATTCTCCAAGAGCCTGATCCAAAAGCCACTGAAATCAATAGAAAGACTTCTTTGGCTTAATAAGGCTTTGGACCAGGCTTTTAGTGCCTAGATTCACTGGTTATAGGCTTGATATAAACCTCTGTACAGAGCATTGTCAGGGAACAAAAATGTCTTACTACAGCAGCAGTTTGTTTTCAGTAATTCAGTTATGTCCACCCTGCCTCAGCAGGCATGTTGAACATGTGTAAAGTATTAATGAAGTCACATGCACTTTTCAGTTATGTACCTCATGACTTAGTGTTCTGTGGGTTATATTTTCAAATACCTAGAAGTCTGGAGTAACTGCATTGAGTTCAGCTGCAACCTACGGCAGAAGACACGCTGTGCTCCCTTGTGGAGAGCCTACTTTTGTTCCTTGTTTTGCTCTTCCCCTTTAAAACAAGACTTAAAATATGTGGTTGATTTTTGGTATGGAAACATGGGGCTCCCTGAATCAGATTGACAGCAAATCTGTTTGCTCGCCAGCTGAAAATAAGCTTCCAAATATTTACATTTGGGAGCAGTGTTCTTGTACTGATGACATCAGTAGCCATTCTTTTGGTTAATTATTTGTGATCTTGTGAGGACAGAATAGCACCACTATTTAGTAAGACACAATCTGCTTGTCATTGAGGTTTGTGAGTTGTATCTTCACTGGCTAGGCTAGAAGATGTAAGAGAAGTTATCTTCTGCGGAGGCCTATGAGTATTATATCGTTGTGCTGACACCAGCTGTAAAAATCTTGCCTATAAATAAGATAGCCATTTGCAGAAAAGCTGTTACAATTGCTCTCATCTTGTGTTAGTGTCTTTTAAGGAAGTCTCAGAGGAGTAGCTGTATTAGTCTGTAACTTTAAAAATGAGTAGTCCTGTGGCACTTTATATATTTTTGGTAGTCTCTATAGTATCATTAACTTTCATGGAAACATCCATGGTGATTCAAACGCCTGCAAACACCACGGAGAAGTATCCCTTCCTGTTGATGTACTCTGTTGCAATGTAGTCTGGCACTAAAATTGGAGTGTGTGCGCTATCATTGGCCCCACAACAGTTAAGGAAGCCCATCTATGCAAAGGTATTCACCGTTTCATGCAAATTTCCCAAAGTCATAGTAATCCGTAACAGAATGTGATTTATTGCCTTGCACACTTGCCATAGTACAGTCCCACCAGTAGACTTCCCCACTCCAAACTGATTTACAACTGACTGGTAGCAATCTGATAGAGGCAGCAAGGGGGGGTGAGAAGCTTATAAAGTAGTCAGCTACTCAGCTAGTCACTTATATCCCTAGAGAGAAGAGGGGACCCTATCAGCATTATCCTCTCAGCTCCCAGTCCCCTCAGACCTGGAGTCTCCTTCCCCTCAACCCCTCAGTAGGACATGCTGGAGGAGAGAAGCTAGAGCCAGACCATTTTCTTGGTCACCAAAGGAGCCTAGAGATGCTTCAGGATGCCAGGGACCAGGCACCTGGTTGGAGCCGGGGCTGGTGAATAGTCCCCTTAAAGGCCCAGGGTCAGCACTTCACCAAGAAACAGTGAACTTTACTCAAGCCTCATTCATTCCCTGCTCTGACTCTGCCTCTCCAAGGGAACACTCCTAACCCACCACCCCTATGGCAGCAGGTCCTACAACTCACCTACATTGGAGTCAGGGAGCTGGGCACAGAGGTCACTTACATCAAACTCAGGGAGAGTGATGGTGAATCTGAGCAGGGCTGTGCTGCTCCTAATGACCCTGTCTCAGAGGGACACCTGGAACCCCATCCAGAAGTGGAAGTGCTGTGGGGGAAGGAGGCAGGTCAAGATCAATGGGCTGATGCATATGCTGTAAAAACAAGTCCTTCCCCTCTCCAGGGGGCTAGGACATTGTGTACAGGGCGGAATAGCTGAGTCACTGATCACAGAGCTTTAGAAGTGGATTGTTACCCCAGGAAGATAAGTGTCTCATGGGTCACAACTTGTCAGGGTCCCTTCTAGGTTGGGACATTCAGTGTCAGGGCAGGTCCCATCCTCCCCGAACTCCTGATTTCTGAACAGCTCCCCAGGAAGGAGACAGACCTTCCGCCCCTCCCCAGCTCTCAAGTCCTTGGTTGGAAGAAGGAAGCCACTGCGAGCACAATCCCCCCAGGAATCTTGGGGCCTGCCTGAGAGAAGGGCTGATTCCCTGGAGTCCTTTGTTTCTCTTGGGAGGATCCTGGGCTTTATCTCTGAGGCTCAGCTCCTAGATGTCCTGGGGGCTTCAGACTCTGACTCCTCAAGCCAGTCATGGTGGTTAGTGCTCAGCAGACCCAGGCAGAGCTTTGGTGGGAAGCCCCAGCTTCTTCCTCTGTTCTTTGAGGAGGCAGAGCCTGACACTGCATTGCACCAAGTGCCCTGACCAAGGTCAGCCCATGCAGGCACAGATAGGAAGACAGATTGGGAGATGGATCTTTCAGTCTCTCCTGACCAGTCTTGCTAAGAGCTAGGGTAAAATTGTCCCCTGCCCCTCCTCATGGGGTTCACCTCCAAGATGTCATGAAGTCTTGCCAGCAGGTTCCCTAGCATGGTGTCCAGGATCTCTGGCAAGACCTTGTTCAGGGCCTGAAAAGCAAAGGAGAACCAAGGTTCAGTTATGGAAACTGGAGCTACACCTGCCACAGAATGTGGGTCTCTGTGATGCGTAACTGAGACCCCCCCCAAACACATGGCCTGGTCTTGCTTCTTCACACCCCACTGCAGGCTATTAGCAAGGTGTGAGAGGTTCACTTACCACTGTAGCGGGGGTCTGCCGTCTGTCTCCGGAATCAGCTCCTTCTGCTGGCAGGGTACCTCAGCTCAGGTGGGGTTTCCCCTCTTTCTTCCAAATCGTGTCATCCTCTTTGCCACACTGCCCTCCGGCAGTGCCCTAGTCCGTCTCTGAGCCCCCCTTCCGGGGGTAGTTGTTCCTCCAGCAGGCCTTTATTCAGGCCCTGCAGTCTGGTGGTTTGTCTGGCCCGAGTGCCCCCGCCCTGCCCTAGCTCCAGGGAGCCTCCTACTCCCCCAGCAGCCAAGCTCTCACTGCTCTCCCTGGGAGCAGCTGCCCATGCTCTTATATAGCTCTCATCTGGGCCATTAATGCAGTCCCAGCTGGGGCTAAACTCCCCAGCCCTGCTTCAGGCTGGGGTTTGCCCTTAAAGGGCCAGTGCAGGGCAAACGCCCTGTCACACAAGGGTTCTGGGCAGGATGACAGCTGGCTCTTCAACTCATGACCTTAGCAGGTCTCTACAGAGGGCCTCATAAGCAGCACAATAGGGAAGAGCTAAGCTGCTATGGACACTGCCTGTGCAGGGAAGGAAGGAAAGAAACCCCCAGGAGGGTAATGTGATGCCCCTGGAGGGAAGTGTACATCCAGGTCTGGCTCTAGGGCGGGTTTCATGATGCTGGCAAGGGAGAGGAGCTAATATTAGACTGTGCTCTGCAGGGGTGAGACTGGCACCAGCCTGGACATGAAAGCATGGGAGCAGAAACAGGATAGCACAAATGGGAACTGAGGCACTGAGTCAGGGAATGCAAGGCCTCCCAGACAGTGGCAGGGCAGGAATAGAGCCTCTTCCCCTGGACTCTGCAGCTCTCCTGTATCTGACCTCTGGAGGGAGCCTCTCCCCAAAGCCCCCAGAACATTGCTGGAACAAAAAGAAGAGCCCAGCCAGGAGACAGGGAAACTGCCCCTTCCGCCAGAGAAGCCACCCTTGGGAGGGTACCTGAGAGGGGGAGGGGCAGTGACTCCCAGCCTGGGCAACACCGGATGGGAGCGACTCAGAACTTGAGGCTGCCCGCAGCTGTGGAGGAGTTGGCCAGGACAGCGATGGGTGGACGGTCATCAGGCAGCTCCTGTGAGATGCCAAGGAGACAAAGGAGTATGTCAGATTAGGATCCTGCTGACACTTCCCCGTGAGGTCACACAGCCAGCACCAGGCTAGGATGTGACAAACATCCTATCTTAGGGGTTCTTGATCATGGAGGAAAAAGGTCCATGTGAGAGGTGGCTCGTGAGGCACATGCCCCAATGCTGGGTAGGGGCAGGACAATCTCAGTTCCCACCCAGCAAGATAATATTTGTAACTTCTCTCAGCCTTGGAGCAGCTCTTGGATGTCCTATAGAGCAGTCTCCTCAGTGGCCACATATACCCATTCCTTCTCCTCATCCTCTGAGTCCCAGGCAGCCCCTGCACCAGAGAGGGAAGGAACAGAATGACTCCTGTTTCCACTAAGGGCAAGGACGGCAGCACAGTGGGAAGAGCAGGGTTAATGTCCTGCCTTGCCACCTCAGGGAACCAGGGCAGCTCTGCAGTCTGAAGTAACCTAGGGAGTTGCTGCTCCTTCCCACAAGAAAAATGGGAGACCAATCCCCTTCCCCCACCTCCACACACACTGCTGCTGGTGGTGGGAGGGAAGCAGGGAAAAAGCAAGAGAAGGAACAAAAGAAGAGAAAGGAGGGAAGGATGGAGGAAAAGGGAAACTAAAAAGGAAAAATTCCAACATCCCCAGTGATTCTAAGGGGCTGAGTCCTACGTGGTAAATAAAATTCTGCCCTTTCTAGCTAGTGTTTTCCATGCCTAGAATTCAGCAGACACCAGATAGATGAATCTGACTGGGTCCTAAACCTCTCAGAGACTCTTCCCTTCTGAAAAGGGACATCTGTGTTCAGGGACAAAAAATCAAGCAAGGGAAAGGAGAAAACGAGTGAGTTGTCCCTGGTATTCACCGACATGCGCTAGAGCGCTCTCTGGGTCCTCAAGGAGAGGCCTCAAGAAGGAGCCGTGCTGAAGCAACGCCGGGTGGAGGTGCCGGTGTCGCTGTCCTTGTCCTGGCCCCGGGCCTCTGTCCTGCCTGGCTGAGGTCAGAGTCTCTCTGTGGGGTCACCGCCTCCACCCGAGGTCCTGCCAAAGACCTTTGTGATGCCACCGCCACCCCCGCTCCGCGGAGGGTACCTAAGAGGGGGAGGGGCAGTGACTCCTAGCGTGGGTGACACCAGAGGAGGAAGCCAGATGGGAGCAGCCATGGGGAAGGTGGCTAGGACAGTGATGGGTGGACGGTCGTCAGGCAGCTCCTGTGAGAGACCAAGGAGTTTGTCAGATTAGGATCCTGCTGACACTTCCCTGTGAGATCACACAGCCAGCACCAGGATGTGACAAACATCCTATCTTAGGGGTCCCTGATCATGGAGGAAAAAGGTCCATGTGAGAGGTGGCTCATGAGGCACATGCCCCTCTGCGGGGGGTGGAAATGCTGGGCAGGGGCAAGACAATCTCAGTTCCCACCCCGCAAGAGAATATTTGTACCTTTTCTCTGCCTTGGAGCATCTCTTGGATGTTCAAAGAGCAGTCTCCTCAGTGGCCACATCTACCCATTCCTCTCCTTCTCTTTATCCTCTGAGTCCCAGGCGGCCCCTGCACCAGGGAGGGAAGGGACAGAGTGGCTCCTGTTGCCACTCATGATGCCCCTGGAGGGAAGTGTCCATCCGGGCCTGGCCCCAGGGCGGGCTCCTGGTGCTGGCAAGGGAGAGGAGCTGATATTAGGCGGTGCAGTGCAGGGGTGCGACTGGCACCAGCCTGGGCAGGGGGGCAGACACAGGGTAGCACAAATGGGAACTGAGGCACTGAGTCAGGGAATGCAAGGCCTCCCAGACAGTGGCAGGGCAGGAATAGAGCCTCTTCCCCTGGACTCTGCCGCTCTCCTGTATCTGACCTCTGGAGGGAGCCTCTCCCCAAAGCCCCCAGAACATTGCTGGAACAAAAAGAAGAGCCCAGCCAGGAGGGAAATTTCCTGCCCCTTCCACCCCTTCCACCCTTGGGAGGGTACCTAAGAGGGGGAGGGGCAGTGACTCCTAGCGTGGGTGACACCAGAGGAGGAAGCCAGATGGGAGCAGCCATGGGGAAGGTGGCTAGGACAGTGATGGGTGGACGGTCGTCAGGCAGCTCCTGTGAGAGACCAAGGAGTTTGTCAGATTAGGATCCTGCTGACACTTCCCTGTGAGATCACACAGCCAGCACCAGGATGTGACAAACATCCTATCTTAGGGGTCCCTGATCATGGAGGAAAAAGGTCCATGTGAGAGGTGGCTCATGAGGCACATGCCCCTCTGCGGGGGGTGGAAATGCTGGGCAGGGGCAAGACAATCTCAGTTCCCACCCCGCAAGAGAATATTTGTACCTTTTCTCTGCCTTGGAGCATCTCTTGGATGTTCAAAGAGCAGTCTCCTCAGTGGCCACATCTACCCATTCCTCTCCTTCTCTTTATCCTCTGAGTCCCAGGCGGCCCCTGCACCAGGGAGGGAAGGGACAGAGTGGCTCCTGTTGCCACTCAGGGGAAGGATGGCGGCACAGTGGGTAGAGCAGAGTTAATGACCTTGCCACCTCAGGGACCCGGGAAGATCATACCCCACATTTCTGACAACCCCCACCCAGGGATTCCTTCAGTATGAAGTAACCTAGGGAGTTGCTGCTCCTTCCCACAATGAAAATGGGAGACCAATCCCCTTCCCCCACACACACTGCTGGCAGTGGGAGGGAAGCAAGGAAAAAGCAAAAGAAGCAACAAAAGGAGGAAAGGATGGAGGAAAAGGGAAACCAAAAATGAAAAACTCCAACTTCCCCAGTGATTCTAAGAGACCGAGTCCTAGGTGGGAAATAAAATTCTGCCTTTTCAATCTAGTTTTTTCCATGCCTAGAATTCAGCAGACACCAGATGGATGAGCCTGAATGGGTCCTAAATCTCTCGGAGACTCTTACCTTCTGAACGGGGAAAATCAAGCAAGGGAAAGGAGAAAATTCGTCAGTTCTTCCTGGTATTCACATAAATGCACTAGAACGCTCTCTGGGTCCTCAAGGAGAAACTTCAAGAAGGAGACGTGCTGAAGCAAAGCCAAGGGGGAGTGTCTATGTCTCTGAACTTGTTCTGGCCCCTTGCCTCTGTCCTGCCTGGGTGACGTCAGAGTCTCTCTGTGAGGTCACCGCCTCCCCACCGGCTTCGACCCGAGGTCCTGCCAAAGACCTTTGTGATGTCACTGCCACCCCCGCTCCTCCACTGCTAGGCAACTGTCCTGGCCCTGGCCAGCTGCTCTGGATGCTGAAGCGGCTCCCTGGGGCTGTCCCCACGCGATGGCTGTGGACCCCTCAAGCTGCCCATAAGACACCAGAGGCTGCCTCCCCCTGCCACACTCAGGCCTGCCCCAGTTAGGGGACTGGGGGGGGGGGGGGGAGGGGGGCA